ACCTCTTGATTGAGTAACGCGGTCGTAGAATGCAGATACAATCATGCAAAATACACTTGTGAATAGCTTGAAGTCAGGCGATTCTAAAAATATATACTTTCCTGGGTCTATTTGTAGCCATTTAGTCACAATTAGAAGATGAAAACAAGTATGCAAATAATAGTCCCGCTACCTTAATTCCATACATGGTAATGACCCTGAAATTTGAACATGTGCTCCTGTTTACATAAAGTACCAGTGTGCATATGTATTTTAGCCTTGAATGTATAAATATATATAACTATAAATACTGATATATAATAATAGTTACAGTGCACTAGTGACCTTACTAAATAATTAATAAGTAAATAATAATGACTGCCTATATAACACAAAACTACAATATGTTAACTTGATAGTCAACTTATTTCTACCAGGGCTCCACACTCTCCCCTCTCTAAAAGAAATACCTTCGCGCATTTGATAAAATATGGCAACATTAATACCAATAACCTGAAGCATGAACATGGTTCTTGTTTCATATCTCTTATCAATCAAGTTCATTACTTAAAAGTTCCATTGTGCATAGTAAACATGTTAATAACTGTCTTTGCTGGAATAGTCCATTTTCAACAGTCCATTTCCAAGGTAATCTCATCCTTACTACACAGATATACATGTAGATTTCCTATGATATCTGTAATGTGTGACAATGAGTTCTGTGGCCATCAGAAACACATGTTCAAAAGATTATATAATTCCCCCTTCTTTTTAACTAATAATGGCTGTTTTCTGTGCTTTGTAAAAACACTACAACACACCAGATTAAAAGTAAGACAATTTATTAAAACTAGTCAGATATAAAGAAATAAAAAACATACGTTAGCATAACTACTAATGGAAAGATTACACAATAAAAATACACACTAAAAAATTGGACAAGGGGTCACCCTTCAAAACTCCCACTGGTGAGCATTGGGCAAAGGTGTTCATAAATTGCCATTCCATACAAAGGAAAAGCCAGAAAGTGGGCGTTCGTCCTTGTAATGGGGACAGGATGAAGTCCTTTGCCCAATAGTGGGGTGAAAAATGACCAGAAGAGGAAGTAGGAAGAGGAGGTAAGATTTTAGCCGACAAGAACATTCACGCAAACGAGTTGCATCAAAGAATGAATGACACGATTATGAATGGGTTAAAACAAAGGAGAGACGCTATGCAAGATAGCACTGATTGGCTAATAAAATTACATTGATTGGCTAAAAAAGGAGCCCTGTGAGTGGTCAAAATTAATGCAAACTGATTGGTTAACTCAAAAAGGTGTGAATCCTTGAATTGCATCAAGCTCAGGGGCCGAGTCTTTACAAACTAGGTCTGTGCCAACACAAACCAAAAATTTGTAAAAACACTACAACACACCAGATTAAAAGTAAGACAATTTATTAAAACTAGTCAGCTATAAAGAAATAAAAAACATGCGTTAACATAAATACTAATGGAAAGATTACACAATAAAAATACACACTAAAAAATTGGGCAAGGGGTCACCCTTCAAAACTCCCACTGGTGAGCATTGGGCAAAGGTGTTCATAAATTGCCATGCCATACAAAGGAAAAGCCAGAAAGTGGGCGTTCGTCCTTGTAATGGGGGACAGGATGAAGTCCTTTGCCCAGCGAGGGAGCACAAAGAAAATGGAGTGGGACTGAGTGACCCCCAATGAAAAGGTGGGAAGTGATGTTTAAAAAGATTATGTGTGGGTGACAACAAGTCACGGGGAGGTGGAACCTCACGGCCTGAGAATGTTGGAAAGCATGAAAACATCCCAGGGGACATGGGAGATAAAATCTCGCTGCATGAGGGCGTAATGTAACGACCTGGGAGTGCAGTGAAAATATCAGGGGGCAGGAATGGCCTGCACGGCCTGACGTGGTGTCCAGGGGACATAACGCATGCCTATAGAGAGAGGTTGATCTCTGATCTGGGGGATACTTCATGTGTGACCTGGTGGGATAGGCAGGGGACATACAGCATACTTAGAGGGAGAGGCAAGTCTCGGGTCTCTGGCATGCTCTATGTGCGACCTGTGGTGAAGTGATGAGATGAAAAGAACTTACACATTAGCCATTGACATGAAGGCTTCACGCAGAAGCTGTTCTGGAGTGCGGATATACAATTTATAACAATCGCTTGATCACCTGCCAAGAGTCTGGCTTAAGTGGTCAGATAAATGAGATGAAGCAGCTGAAGTTGCTGCCCCAATGCGAAACGAATGACCTGCATAAAGATCAGAGTTCAAACCAAGTTTAGAAATAAGAGTACGTAAGGAGTCTGTGAAGAATTGTCTATGCATTGGAACTCTTTCAGGTAGTAGAAACAGTGGTTCATCATGAATTGCATCAAGCTTAGG